TTTAGCGCCGCCTTCAGTCCAGGGCCTGATCCTGGAGACCTGGGATGGAGTCCCACATCCGGCTTCCTGCAAGGAGCCTGCTTCCTCTTCTACCTGTGTCCCTGCCTCTCTTTCTCTTTCTGTGTCTCTCATAAATAAATAAAATCTTAAAAAAAAATTTAAAAAGCACAGGTCTCTTGTTCTTTGCCTAGTTAACCCTGGCCCTATACTCTTTGCCTGGCTAATCTTTCTTCAGATCTCAGCTAAATTTATAATAGAGAAAAGTTAGAACAACCCGAATGGGCTGACCTAAGTAACAGAATGGTTAATTATAAATTTAAAAATAAAATTTTGGTATATTCACTGAATGAAATATCACACATGCCAATTTTGAATAACTTTAGTGTTTTTAATGACATAGAAGAATATAAAGTAACAAAAATAAGATATACTAATATACTAGTTCAAGAAAGAGTAGTGACAATAGTAAAATATAAAACCATGTACAGAATGTTGAGTCATTTTTATTTTCTTATTTATGCTTTCCTATATTTTCTAATTTTTGTACAGTGACTATGTATATTTTCTATGAAAAACAAAACAAAACAAAACTCAGGCATTACCTTTTTTGACATTTCACCACCACCTTCCAAAACATGTATCCCCAATGCTTGAAATAGTGCCCAGAATATAGTAGATCCTCAGTAAAGTTTTATTGAATTATTTTTCTTCCCTTGTTGGATATTCTCTGTGACCAAACTGGAAAGAGCTTGAAACAGATATAAAGGGGCCCCTGGGTGGCTCAGTGGTTGAGTATGTGCCTTCAGGTCAGGTCATGATCCTGGGGTTCCGGGATCAAGTCATCAGGCTCCCCATGGGGAGCCTGCTTCTCCCTCTGCCTATGTCTCTGGGTTTCTGACTGTGTCTCGCATGAAGAAAGAAGAAAGAAAACGAAAGAAAGAAAGAAAGAAAGAAAGAAAGAAAGAAAGAAAGAAAGAAAGAAAGAAAGAAAGGTATAAAAGCACTGTTTGAAGGAAGAGAGATGTTTCCTAAAGAATACTGGAAGTTTTCCAAACACTGATGAGGCTTTAACCTTCTCTCAGGAATTTAACAACTCTAAATTCATTGACCTCCACCCTTGACAGCAAAGAGCAGGCAGTGGTGGGTGAAGAAGACTCATTTCCTCTTTAAGAAGAATGAGGCTGCTGGCTTGAGGGGTGGATTGTGATTGTCTCTGATGAACTGCTTCAATTAGTAACATGTCCTATGGACTCCATCCTGAACCCCGTGCTTTGGACAATTTTGTACTTGTTTCTTCAATCTACAACCCAGTTTCTGCTCCCATTTCCCCCAAGTGACTTGGCTATAACATTGGCAAGACCAAATAATTTATCCTAATTGGTTTATTATGCTGGCAAAGTGACCATCCAGCTCATTTTGGCTTTCCAGTCTCAACACTTGCTCACAAGAAATTCTCTAGTTTTGGGCATTACACATGCTAGTGGCTAGCACTCTTGGCCCTGACACTCAATAGTCTCCCCAATGCTCATGCATCTCTGCACTTTCCTTCTAGGAGGGCACAAAATGTCAGGATTTGACCACTTCTGTTTCCTGCTCCTCAGAAGTTTTGTAATCTCTTTGGAGAGTTTGGTATCTTCTGAGACTTCCTGTATTTGCAATATCAGAGGTCATACCTGTAGAGGAAGTCTGGTTATCTCTGAACCAGGACTTGGAAGACTTGAGTCTTGACACACATCCTATGTGACCTTGATTAATAAGTCTTTGAACTTCTCTGAATTTGTATTCCTAATCTGTACAATGCCAAAACATATAGGGATCAAATAAAACCATGGAGGTGGATATGCTGGGGGAAATCAGAAGTACTAGGACCTTTGAAAGTTCATATTACTGCTGTGGCTAGTGGTCCTGTTTGCAGCCTGGGGAGTCTGGGAGGACAAAAATGAGGAGAAAACAGATGTGAAAGTGACCAAAATGGAATAATGAGCACAGTGCCAGTCAAGTGTATAGAAGTGGAAACCTTAATGTTACCACGAGTGAGGGGAAGTGAAGGGCTTTCCTGCTCAAGAGTAAGGAGGTGACCACAGAATGTATATGGAGCTCCTGGGACCATGGTTGACTCTTGCTACCACTTCTCACAACCCTAAGCTGGAAAGAATTGAGTCTAGAATAGTATCCTTGATGATAAAACTACTGGGTCTATGGGTTGAGGGCAGAAGAAGGAAGAAAATTATCCCATTAAAGCTGGGGAATCACACTTTGAATAGAATTTTTCAAAATAATCAGTTTATTCTTACTTCATTTAACTAAATTGAATTCATATCCTGAGTCCATGTTATCTGTCACAACCCCTCCCATTAAAACTGGTAGTTTGGGCTACCTCTGGGCACATATTAAGCAAATGTTTATTGAACACCTACTGTTTACACAGAGATAAGCATGACATGGTTTCTGCATCAAGGTGCTCCTTTTTAGTGAGGGAGACAAACAAATAGATATGTTATAGGTGATAAGATGGAGGGAGCTCTGGAGGCTTCCTCTAGGAGCATGGAGAGAGATTCAGAGTTTAGTTGGAAGAGGGGTCAGGGAGGGTTATCTAAAGACAATGAGCACTTTTTTTGTAGTGTATTTGGGAGGGATTTGTTCTTATTCTCTATTGACTATCACTTAGAAATAGCTTCAATGTATGAATCTCAGAGGCCATTGATTCAGCTTAACATGTTGACAGAAGCCTTGGTACTTTTGGTGTGGAATTTCACTGGTGTGATTGGTGAGACCTTCACAAACAAAACATTTTATCTCTATGAACCAAAGATCAAACCAAGGCTACGAAGCCAAAGTCAACAGTCAAACTCATTGTGTGGCTCAATGCAGATTAATTACCCATTCTTATATATCATCATTCTCCTATTGTTCCAGAGCAGACACCTTCATAATCCCTCCACAGGTTGAAGATCAGCACACCCCACTCATTTAGACAGAGGACTCCATGTCAAGTGCTCCTTCTTAGTGCATGGTGGGGTTTAGATTTGACTGGGAACCATTCATTGACAGTCAAGGAATGGCCTTCTCTGACATTTTGTTTCTACCTCTGATGTGACACTTACTTTATTCCATCTCATGGCATCGTTATTTCTGTCACTGTCAATACCATCACTAGCCTAAGAACTCTTTGAGGGCATATTTGGGGTTTCACTCAGTTTTGTCTGCCCTGACAAACAGCAAATGACTACTCAACTGAGTTGGATGGAAATGCCATGAAAATAAAGTCTATAGATTTGGGGGGACATAAGACACATCCTTTTTCCCTTAAAGCAAGGTGCTTAATGCATGAACATGAAACTCCATCAACCAGGAGAGGCCATGAGAGATACTAGCATAGGTGATACAGGGATCACAGAAACTTAGAGCTGGGGATGGAGGTCTTGGTAAATATTGGAACATTTGGAGCAAGACTTACACAAAGAAAAGGGTAAGGACAAGAGAGAGGAGAGAAGTACAGTTTGTGTGTGTAGGTGGCATATGGGTGGGGGGAGTGATAAGGTAGGATGACATTGAACTTTATTTGTAGCCCTGAAGCACTCCAAAATGCTCCTCTTTTCTCTCCTAGCCCACATTTCTACAGCACCCAGGAGGCCTGGCTCTCTCCTTTCCCTCTTCACTCTTCTTTCTCAGGGCAGAGGCAGATAGCCACGTGAGGCTGGGGGTGAGCAAATGGGTCAGTGTGGATGAGCTAATGGTGGATAGAGATCTTGACCAACCACTCTAGTTGCCCCCACGTGTCCCACCCCACACACTACTGTATTCCTGGTTGACTTTATTCTAGGTCAACAGCAGTGCCCAACCAGGTCGGGCTTTCCATGAATGTAAGGAATTCCCTATGGATGGCTGGGGAACACCCACGTGCTTATACTACACATTTTATCCATAACATGGTTAAGCCCATTGCTAGGTCTATCCAATCCCATTTTTACACTAGAGGAACATTTTTTATTTGAGTCTTCCAAACTTGATTCTTCCTTTTTCTCTTTTTCTATTATCAGTCCAAGTAAACATACCAACATCTTTATTTCTTTTCTGTTCCCTTCTTGTTCTAGAACAGACTGACCCAAACTCCTTTCCTGATTTCAGCCCTAATGAGATGGGTCTTTGTGTGTGCCATAGGCTCTAGTGGTCAACATTTTCTCTCTTTGTGGTCATATTCTATATTTGTACTGAGGCAAACAGGTAGAAAGAAAATGGATTTTAGAATCAGATGACTTAGTTCAAATCTTGGCACTGCCCCTTAACCAACCATGTGTCCTGGAGATAATGAATTCTCCTGTGTGATCCTCATTGCCCCAAGGGAATAATCATAGTCCTGCTCAGGGGTATGGTAGGGTTAGATGTCATGTGTATGTGGAAGCTTGCCCAGTGCCTGGTCCTTAGTAAATCTCCAATAAGTAGAAGTTATAGATGTTCCTCAGGTGCCCTGCTGGGTCTTTCTGCACACTCAATGCTGGACTCTCTCTTTACACCTAAGGAAATGTACAGGGCACTAAGGTCACTCAGCTCAGTAGAAGAAGGCCCAAGAATGGGACATGGATTCCTGGCTACCCCTTCCTTCTTAAGGCCAGGCTTGCAGCAGCTTTGGAAAAACATGAAGTCTCAAGTTTCTGGAGGTGCCAACCACTGAGAGCAGTACGCTTCTCATCTACAAGCCTCTTTTGGCAGATGTGAAGATTTCATCCTTCCTCTCTATAGTCTTGATCACTGTCTTTGGTGTACCACTTCCCTCTATGACGCAGCCCACTTCTTCTCCACTACCCCGCTTTCCTCCCGTGATGACATCGCCCTGGGGAAGAGAAGCTGTGAAGGGCTGCTCTCTGTCTGCTAGCTTCAGTTTCCTTATTGGCACCGTGACATCATCTCTACCTTGGAAATTCCATTTGCCCTCCTGTGCCTCCATATCTGTTTGAGGCCTCAGAGTTCCTATAAAGAGGGGTTCCCAAGTCAGTTTCAGCACAGAACACAGTTGGGCTCTGAAGCTTCACTGTTCTTCAGTCTCAGTTCCTGGAAAGCCTCTCCTCTGCCGAGACCATGAAGCTCTGTGTGACCGTCCTTTCTCTCCTTGTGCTAGTGGCTGCCTTCTGTTCCCCGGCGCTCTCAGCACCAAGTAAGTGGCCACTCTTCCAGCCGCTACTTCTAGAGTCATGGTGTAGATAGTGCTGGCTTTTCTAGCTGGGTCTGATCTAACGGCATCTAGGGACAAAAGGGAGATGGGAAGATTTCCAAGTAGCCTGCTGTTAAATGTAGAATCTAGTAGACATTCAGTAGGAGTCAAGTTCCTATTTTCTTAAGAAATAACAACCAGTAGACTCATTTAAGCAAGTTCCTGCCTCTTTCTGTGCCTTGGTTTCCCCATCTATAAAATGAAGGGAGTTAGACACATGCCCTGAGACTCAGTCCAGTTCCAATCTTCCAAAATTCTTTTGTGACTTTCTCTTATGATCTTCTATTCAGAATAATACTCCTACTTAGGGTGAGTGGGATTGGAAAAAAGGGACCATATTTTGGGATCCGGTAGTCCTACTGAGATGGCCACTGAATATCTATTGATTAGAAACCAAAATTAACAAGTTGTAGAGCTTCTATCTCACCCCTGCCTTTCTTTCCAGTGGGTTCAGACCCTCCTACCGCCTGCTGCTTCTCTTACACCCTGCGGAAGATTCCTCGCAACTTTGTGACAGATTACTTTGAGACCAGCAGTCTCTGCTCCCAGCCAGCTGTGGTGTGAGTATCAACCCTGGGTCTGTTCTAGGAGGCAGGGGTGAGGGCAGGATTAGAAAATGGGGCCTACTGGCAGAAGATGGAAGCAAACAGTAGGGAGACAGGTCTCAGGGCTGAAGCCCTTCCAGAAATCAGTGAGGATCAAGCCATGAAGTTACCTGTTGAGTCTGGGGGAGGTTGGGTGGGAGCCAGGGGAAGGCAAGGGGACTTCTGGGGGAGGAATTTAGCCAGAGGCCAGGAAACCAGGGAAACTAAAAAAGATGACATGAGATGTGCTTAGAAACCGTGCTTAGAAAAACATGCAGAAAAATCATTGCTAGGGGCAATAGAGAATAAGTAGGGTGATGTATCCATTTTGATTGCAAAACTCATTTGTTCCTAATCTGAGCAACCCAAGAGGTGGAGCTAAATCCAGAGTAGAAGTTGCAAGGAGTCCAGTTTTAGCACCACCCCAGGAAGTTTTCCCACCTATTAGAGCTATCCAACATAAATCCAACATAAACAAATGGTCAAGCAGAGGAAGATACCTACCACAGGCAAGGTCCCATGGGATTCTAATCTGTCTATTCCTTGTTCCACAGATTCCAAACCAGAAAGGGCAGACAAGTCTGTGCTAATCCCAGCGAGCCCTGGGTCCAGGAATACATGGATGATCTGGAACTGAACTGAGCTGCTCCAGGTCAAGGTGCAGGAGGTCTCCAGGGAAGGTCACCTGAGCCCAATGCTTCTCATGAGATGCACCTTCTCCACACTCAAGACTCTTCTCAGTAGACTGTTCCTTCTCTTAATTTAATCGTATTATGGGTTGTTATTGTATTTGAACTTATTTCTATTATTTGTTTTGCCAAAGGACACTTACTTGTCCCCCATGGGGATAGTCTACCATCATTGTTTCTCTGCTATTGTAGATATATGAATAATGCAACTGATTCCATATGTTTTCAAAATAAATTTTCTAAAAAATTATAGACAATTTCTTTGCATTTTAATTTGACTTGAGGTGAAGGGAATTGCCTCATATTATGACTGGGACAAACTACAGTTTCCAAACACAATAAGGACAAGCAATTACTGAGTACTTTTAATATGAGCTAATATGGGGCAGCCCGGGTGGCTCAGTGGTTTAGCGTTGCCTTCAGCCCAGGGTGTAGTCCTGGAGACCTGGGATCGAGTCCCACGTCGGGCTCCCTGCATGGAGCCTGCTTCTCCCTCTGCCTGTGTCTCTGTCTCTCTCTTTCTCTGTGTCTCTAATGAATAAATAAATTTAAAAAAAAAAGAAGGATGGAGTCCCATCCTTCTAAAAAAAATATGGGCTAATATGTCTAAAGATATGATATCACTCAACAATTTCATTGGGATTTTAAAACCCTTATGAAGTAGGAACTGGCTATCTCCAATTTTATAGATGAGGAAACAGAGGCACAGAGGTGATGTGACTTGCTAAACCTTATGGATCTGCTGGGGTAGTAGCATCATGGAAGGACGATCCAAAAGGATAGCTATATGCTAAAAGGTAACATATCAATATTCTGTAGGAAAGTTGTGAATAGCAGTAGCAGCAGCACAATGTAGAAGGTGGAAGTGGTTCAGAGTCAGAAAAGTGGGCCTGCATGACTTATTATTGGCATACCATTAGGAAAGTCATCTTGCCTTCCTGGACCTCGATTTTCACACCTAGAAAGTGAGAGTTTCAAAGGGCTATTGTAAGGTGACATGTACATTACCCATCGTGGGGGCCTGACATCTGGAAGATTCTTTCCTTCTCTGAGCCTCAGCATTCTCACTTAAAATGGGCATGGTGCCTATCCTCCTAGGGTCATCATGAGGATTAGCTTAGTTAGTGAATAAGCTCTCTAAAGGCCAACACAAATGTGAAATGTTATCATGAGAACAGAAGAGTGAATATCAGATCTAGTTCTGGACGGTGGCAGGAGTAACCTAGAGCCACAGCTTATTTCCTTAATTCATCCTCAGAACTTCTTCTTACAGGGGTGCTGGGTGGCTCAGTCAGTTGGGCATCTGACTTTTGATCTCAGAGTCTTGTCTCTTCCTCTCTCTCTGTCTCTCATGAATAAATAAAATCTTAAAAAAAATTCTCATACATGGGTCAGAGAGAACATGGGTCTAGAATAGAATTACATGTACGATCAAGTCTTGATTCATGGGACTTAGAATTTTAGTCTATTAAAAGTTCAGGGACCCTCTCAGACCATCTGGTCCAACTCATTTTTTGGAAACCAAGAGCGAGGGACTGAGAAGTGACTTACTAGAGGCAATTCAGCAAGTGTGTCACAGATGACTTTAGCTAATTCCAAATCCCAGGTTAATCCCTTTTCCATACTCCTGGTGACATTCCTTTGTGCCCACCCCCCCCCCACACACACACACAAAGGAATGACCCATTGTGTAAGTAGGATGAAGAGGGGCTGACCTTGAAAATCGCTTGAGTGTTCTTGGTCCAATGCAAAAGCAGAACTGAGACAATGTACCTTTCCGAAGCCAACAAAGAATTCCCTTCCTCGTTCTGCACTTAGCCACCCTCATCATCCCAGAGCCTGATGGGGCTTGGCTTTTGCTTTTCATCTTCCCACATCTGAAGTGTCCAGTGTATTAGCCACTAGCCACAAGTGGCTCAGTAATTGCTCATCCTTATTGTGTTTGGAAACTGTAGTTTGTCCCAGTCATAAACAGGAAATAACATTTAAAATTCATTTCCTCAGTAGCACTAGTCACAGTCCATGTGCTCATTAGCTACATATGCTTCATGGCTGCCATGTTGGACAGTGAAGATATAAAGCATTCCTACCATCACAGAAAGTTCCATTGGATGGCACTGTCCTAAAGACACAGAACCTAAAGTAGTGAAGGGAAGGGGTGTTGGAAGTAGGCTGGAAAGCAGGGTGTGGACTTTGGTGAAAGATACATATACTCTGTTCTGAGGAAAGTGGTTGGGAGAGAAAATGGATAATCCCTGGGCCTGAGACAAGGTATAGATCACCATAGTAGGCTGAATAATGGCCATGAAGATGTCCACATCCTAATCCCCAGAACCTGTGAGGATTGCCTTATACAGCAAAAAGGACTTTGCAGATATGATCAAGTAAAGGATCTTGAGGTGGAGAGATTTTCCTGGATTATCTGACTGGACCCCAAATTGTAGTTATAAGTATCCTTATAAGAAGAGATAGAGGGAGATTTGACTACAGAGAGAAGAAGGCAATATGATGACCAATGCTATGCCATCGACTTCGATGATGGAGGAAGAGTGCAGGAGCCAAGGAATGCGAGACTGCCATTCTAGAAGCTGGAAAAAACAATGAAATGTCTTTTCTCCTAGAGCCTCTAGATGGAGTGCAGCCCTGTTGATAACCCTGATTTCAGCTTAGTGAAACAGATTTGGATTTCTGAACTCCAGAACTTTAAGAGTGTGTTGTTTTAGGGCACCAAGTTTGTATTAATTTGTTATAGAAGAAATAGAAAACAAATACAATCACCAACTGAAGAGTCACCCCTTCCTCAGTGTGGAAGAAAATGGAACATTCTAGAAAGTGAGACAAACTTCCCTACAGGAGAAACCCAAGGTGAAGTGGGCACATTCCAAGGGAATGGACTATAATGAAGTGAGGCATCTCAAGAGGAGGGTCTGCTCCTAAGCAGGAGGGTCTGCAGCTAAGTACAAAGCTGAGGCTTCACCAAGGGTACAAACCCATGAGTTAAGCTAAGAGGAAGCCTGACTCTTCTTGGGGGCCTTCAAGGGGGTGGGAGTCGGTGATCTTGGATTCTTCTCAGAAGGAGTCCATCCTCTCCTTTGTCTAATGAAGCCTGGAGGAGAGCCACAGCTTGTCTCTGGTTTCACCATTAGAGAGGGCAGGGGTAGAGCTAGAATCTGGGTGTCCTTGCTCACATGAAGCCCTTTGCCCCACATGTCCCTGGCCCTGAGCAAATTGGAAGGGAGGAATTCAGCATCTCAGAGACCAGAGTGCCAGGGAAGCCTGCAGGAGACCTGAATACCCTCGCGAATAAATGCTTCAGTCAGGAATTCCCGACGACAGAGTGGAATCCTTGTGGTGGGGCAATGTGGAACTTCACCTGTTGCACAACAAGACACTTGTTCTCCTTTTCCCTTTTCTTTATGAAACTTCCTTTTCTTAGATTGAGGCCAGGATGTTGGTATCTGATTTTCCACGTATTTCTCCAGGTTTCTGGGTGGAGACTAGAACCTGAACAGATGAAGCAGGATAGGAAATGAGAGCTACAGTTTGTGGAGCAACTTCTGGAAAAAACATAGCCCTGTGTTTTTCTATTCTCTTGCAATATTTGCATCCCCCATTTCCCTCCCCAGCTGGGGGGAGAGGGGCTCTGTTTCTTCATGTTCTGATTCATGAAATTCTACATTCTCACCCCCATCTCACTCCAACCCAGAGCCTTCCACCATGTTCCCATGACATAGGCATTTTCCTCCTAGGAGACCAGGAGCTGACCCAGCAGAAACAGTGACCTAGGATATAAGTTGAGCCACAAATAGTGGAAGAAACCACAGTTTTTCCTGGTGGCTGAGCCCAGCGGCCACCTGATGGTTCTGAGCTGCTTTCCACACACACCCTTCACAGACCTGAGGGACGTGTCCTCTCTCCCTTTTCCACCTGCCCCCCCCATCTAAACACGTCTCTTCTTGGGCTCCCATTGAGTCCAGGCAGACAGGAAAATGTTAAAAGATGTAGGAATTAAGAGAAAAAGTTGTGAATGCATTTTTCTACATTTTAAAGTTTCATTTTTAAAATATGAAAATTGTATGAAATACAGACATTCAGAAGAAAAGAGAAAATCACCTTTTTTTTTTTTTTGCAGGGGAGGACAGGCTTGATCCTAACAGGATGGTCTGGGGACTCCCTTCTTCTTCTTCTCCTTCTCCTTCTCCTTCTCTTCTCCTTCTCCTTCTCCTTCTCCTTCTCCTTCTCCTTCTCCTTCTCTTCTTCTTCTTGATTTTATTTATTTATTTTAGAGCAAGAGAGAGCAGGGGGAGGGGCAGAAGGAGAGGGAGAGAGAGAATCCCAAGCAGACTCCACGCTGAGCACAGAGGCTGATGTGGGGCTCGATCTCAGGACCCTGAGATCATGACCTGAGCCAAATTCAAGAGTCTGATGCTTAACCGACTGAGCCACTCAAGTGCCCCTACATACCTGGTTTATAAAGTTCTTGTCAGCTGTACAACTTTAATCGCAGCATAAAACACTTCCTTGAGCTTTGAATATGCTACCTTCTCTTTCCTTTACTCAATTCCCTATACAAAGGGTTGCTAGAAACATCCTTGGTAAATTTCTTTTTTTTTTTTATTGTAGTTCAATTTGCCAACATATAGCATAACACCCAGTGCTCATCCCATCAAGTGTCCCCCTCAGTGCCTTGGTAAACTTCATAAGCCTCCTTACAGCTGGGGATACTTGTAAATGTCAAAGTCTCAGGCTTTGAGTTACAAAAAAATGTTACCTTTTTTCCCCATAATTGAACCCAACCCTCCAGTGCCCCTTCCTTTTAGTGGTAGAAAATTTAATCTGACTACAAGGTACGATTACTTCCTGATGTTTTCTCCTCCAATTGAGAATCCTTCATGAGGCCTACTTCTTCCTATTCTCTCTTCCCCTTCTTCCTAGGGTCCATCTTCATTGTGGAGGGCTACCGTGTGATCAGGCTCATCACACAGGAAGGCGCAGGAATCTTGTTTCTTGTCCGTTGGCCTCTGCTGGCATCTAGAGAAGTGCATCTCAGCCTTCTGGCCATTGGGCATCTGGCCCTCTATCATGTCACTTGTCCTGCCATGGCCTCCAGGGTCAGTCCTTATGACTCTGTCCTTTATGTCTCACTCTAAGCTTCTCTGAGCCCACAGGGCTTGGGACTTCTCAGAAAGGCTGTCA